AACCCTGTGGTTAAGAACTCAGAGGAGGAACAGAAAGCTTTTTTGACTTCAAGTTAGGAAAGGCAAACTTTTTTTTTTTTTTTTTAAGACAGCACAAAAGCACTGTCCGTGAAAGCAAAAGCAAAACCCAATCTTCCTTCTTCGCTGGGTTGTGGGCCAGCTCTTTGGGGGTGACATCCACTAGTCCTATAATTCATACAGATTCCAGGAAGGTGAAGGTTTGAGATGTGAAGCACTCAGCTACTCAGACACTGCTGTCCATGCAAACTGCACTCACCTCTGCACTACATCTGGAACAGGTGGTGGATGGGCCACACATTGCTCAGGCCCATGGCATAGGATATGCATGTAAGCAAGAACTGCTGGGGTTGTCCCACTTTGGTTGCCCCTTCTCCACAACCTTAGGCTGGGCATACTTGGTTGGGCCAAGTCTTCCTGTGTGCTGGTCAGGGCATTCAGGGCTGCCCTTGGGCTGCAGCTCCTCATCTTCTGGCAGGGGAGACCACATGCGCCAAGGGTGATTCCATCTTCTGAGACAACACTCAGGGTAGAATGGGCCCACTCCTGTGCTCTCTTCTGGATTCCAGTCCCTTGGGTTTCCTGTTGTTCAGCTTTCTGCACTGTCAGGCCCTGGTGTGAGTCTTCCCTGGTGGGTCGGGTGCCTCCCTCGGCTTTAACCTCAGTGGTGGCCAGTTCACAGCCTCCCACTGACCTTTGGCCACATTCTTTTTTTCTGTGTCATGACTCTCAAACTCCAGGATTTCTGGGCTCCTCATACTATTAAGGATTACTGAAAACTAGCTCATGAAGATACGATTGCGTCTGCTGGAGGCTGATGGTGAACTGGAAACTGCAGAAAGTCTCTGATCTATGTGCTTTTCAATTTCTATAGCATAAACGCTTCCATGATGGCACATCCTGAGCTACCAATAAGTGCAAAGGGACACTATTATTTTGGGTTCCCTCCCACCTTGCACTTACAGTCACATAGGTAGCCTCAGGAGAACAACTGACAAGGAATCATAAATCATGAGTTTTGAGCATTGTGTCTGATTTAAAATTTACACTTCACTCAGACCTTGGTCATAACTGTATTTAAAAATTATCTCAACAAAGGGGATGAATCTCAGTTCTCTGGGGTGTCCAGATTCCCAGTGCAGGTGACTCAGTCAGGCTTAGCCCCACCTGAGAGTTCTCAGGATGCAATTCTGGCTAATGGATGACTGCCGGTGGGTAGGAACTTCACTGTGCCTATCAGAAACACAATACAGAACATGATAAAGCCGATTCGCCAGAACTCCTGAGGAAGGAGAGAAAGCAGGAATAGCTCTACGCAGGGTTCTATAGTCTTACCCTGCAAACTAAGGTTATACAATTTTGAATCATTTGCTCATCCTGGTGAGTCCACTGTTAATGAATCATAAGAGTTTCTAGTTTCCCTGTATGAGAGAGTCCAAACTCCTTAGCACTGTTGGCAAGACCTTGAGAGTTTTTGTTTGTTTGTTTGTTTTGGGTTGTGTTGCAATTCTTGTCCTTTAAAAAAGAAAGATTTTATTTTATTTCATATTCTACATATACATATGCATATGTACATACATACATACAAAATGTATATACATAATACATAGTTGGGACTGGGGTTGTGGATGGCTGTGAACCACCATCTGGGTGCTGGAGACTGGACCCATGGTCTCTACAAGAACAGCCAGAGCTTTTAGCTGTTGAGCCATTGCTGCAGCCTCCCCTTTTGAGATGGGGTTTAGCTAGGTTGATTGTTTAGGTCGGGTCTTTAGTCTCCCTGCTTCAGCCTCTCAAGTTGGTAGGTTACAGGTGCATCACACCCTCCTGATTCATGTTGACATCTAATTACCACTACATTATTTGAGATTTGATTTGAGGGAATTTCAGTGTGCTGATAAGAATGTAAATTCTACAGCTGTTATATGAGTAAGCTTTTAAACATTATAATTGATCTTTTATCATTCTACAGTGATCTTTCTTTCTCTTTTTACAGTAACAAAACAAAGCAAAGGTACGTCCCCATGGAGAAACTGGCATTTGATTGTATGTGGAGAGCTCCTTGGCTGACCAGTTCAACTTAGTGTCTTCTGACTCTACAATGTGAGAAAGGGAAATGAAATCTGTAGAAGCTATAATTTGAGACCCAACATTTTGTGGGCAAGCAATCTGAAGAGGGTATTCTGTGGAGATGTTGGGAACCCCAGTGATCACATGGCCTCTGGGATGATCATTTGACAGCTCTGAGTGTGATGGATAGGAAGGTAGGTGTAACAAATGCATTTTTAATTTAGGGGGCTCTTCGATCTAAAGTGGGTTTAGCGGGATGTAACCACAATGTGGATGGAAGAGTATCCTAACACAATCCAAGAATGTAGTCCTGTGAGAATTCTGAGTGCTGGGGCTGGAGATAAGGCTCGGTGGTTAAGAGTACTGGCTGCTCTTCCAGAGGACATGGGTTCAATTCCCAGCACCCACAAGGCAGCTCACAAACGTCTGTAATTCCAGCTCCAGGGGAATTGACACCCATGACAAAACAACAACGCACATAAAATTAAAAAAGAAAAAAATGGAAAAGAGAAGAAACATTCTAAAGAAAGAAAAACAATTCTGAGTACCTGTGAGAAAACTTCCAAGAAAATAAAAGTCTCGTGACCTCAGTTTCTCCAAAACACCGAATTGTTCTTGGAGGATTATTCTTCTACACCCCTCCCAGGTGTATCATATAGGAGTGAGTTTTCTTCAGATTATTCATTCCAACTGGCTATTAGTACTTATTTATACACCTCTATAGAAATTCATGGGGTTTTTTTTTCCATGTGCAGCCTGTTATTGTGATTATATTCAGTTTGAACTCATGAGAGCTTTACTCACATGATCTTTCTTAACGCTCAAAGTGGATATTGCCTGATGTTCTTAATAAAGTTGGCTGTTGTGTGAGACTTTATTCCCCCTTTTTAGGCTCCATTCTCCCAGGTTCCACTACCTTTAGATCGGTAAACTGAGGCACATCTGTATTTCATGATAGCATTACTTCACCTGTCTGATTTCCATAAGCACAACTGTTCTGTTGAGGTGACTCCCACTCATACCTAGAGATGTTCAACAGTGCATTTATATTTGTACAAGTTGTTCTGGATGTAAGTATGTCTAAACACACTGCATACTTTCCCCTCTCCTTCAATAGGCTCTGCCCAGGCTCTCAGATTTGATTGCACATGGTATTCACCCAAGAGCACCAGACTCACCCCCAAGATTTTCTGACAAAGGCTCCTTGAATCCAGTAGCATGGACACTGCAAATTTTCAATGCTCTGATGTGTCTAGAATGGCAGAGGTGATGGGCGCAATGAAAAAGAATAGAATAATGATAACATGACAATGTTCCTCTTTTCACCTTTGAGGGTACATGATTTTTGAGACCCTGTCAGTGACTGACCCTAGGAAGGCATGACAAGTGCAGAAAGGCAGTCACTATGCCTAGGTTGAGAGTAGGGGACAGACACTTAAGTGTTCAGGAATAGACTCTGATGTATTATCACAGGGTGTACCCACTGTTCGAGCCTAAAATCCATCTGATGAGAAAACCAGGAGTAAACACTTAGGTAAATAAATGCTGCTTCTCATATATTTAAGGACAGTGATCATTTTAAAATGAAAATAAGAAGGCAGCTATGATAGTGAACAATTTGTCCTGTGAGTTATTGTCCTCTGTTAAAGACTCAACTGTTGGAAAGACATCATCACTATCTACCTTTTTGATATGTATATTATTTTAACTTATGTGTATGTGTTTTGTGTACATGTTCATGCTGGTGAAAACAAGGATAGAAAAGGATACAACAAGGATGTTTTATCATCTGGAACTTGGATTTTCAGACACTGTAGGCTTTCCAACGTGGATTCTGGGAACCTTATTTTGTTTCTCTGCAAATGTAGCAAGTGTTTAGCCAGAGAATTTTCTCTTTACTACCACCACCTGCCACATCAAAGACCTTTCCAGTGCCTACTTTTGTCATTGGGAAAAAGAGAGAAATAAAAGATCTCTCTGGTCGATGTTCCAAGTGATGTCTAAGTGTCTTCAGAGGTGTCTGCACAGATGGATCCAAAGAAGTCCTTCAATTCCATGAGCTCGGCTTGTTAGTACAGGAGGGAACTCTCAGTCTGGATAACCTTGATCCACTTTATTATGATAAAAAAGAAAAGAAAACAGACAAATTGACATAATGGATGAATAACAGCCATTAATATGGAGTGTTTTCAGTTATACACTGCTCTGTGTGACTTATGTACATTTTAGAAAGCATTACTATACAGAGGTGAATGAAGGTGGCTGTGAGTGATGTTTGTAGAAAAGTTACAGTTCCTTGTACCCTTGTGGATCATCTGACCCTGAAACCCCAGGGATGGGAATGTCTGTTCAGATTCCTTGTACAGTTTAGCGTTGCCACAGCCCACTGTGAGGAACCTTTGCATTCCCAACATAACTCTCCCTTCGTGGACACTAAATCCCGGTAGTATTTACAGTGTAGTACAGTGTAGTAATACAAAAATTACACACTCACTGTGGCTTCAATGAGAAGAATTGTAATGTGTTGCCCTAGGTGCTTCAAAAACCTCTGACACTGGATGAAAAGCAATTAGTATCTTGTTTTCTTTTGAGAAAAAAAAAAACAAAACCAAAAATAACAACAAAAAACAAACAAACATAAACCGAAGTGCTTGTTTGGCTCCTCAGGGTTATGGTCAAGTTTCTAATGACAGCTTACCTTGAATTCTAGGACTTCCTAGAGTCTAGGTGACAATGATCTTCAGTACTGGCCTTAACCGCTGACGACAAGAAGGCTACAAGTTGTAGTCTTCAGATGGCAAATAATGGAGGGAGTCTTCTAAGGGATGTGGTCCCCTCCCCAAGGTAGTCTTCTTTTTCTAAGCTCCCTAATCCTCTTTACAGATTCAGGAGGTCCCAGACCAGCACTCCAGCCAAGGTGTCCCCACCAGCAGGCAGCAACTGTGAAACAGATAGTGGCTGACTTCCGTCCCTGGGAGGTCCATTCTTAGACCACTGGGGATGAACCTCCCCTCTTGAGGCAATTCCAGATGAAAATCCCCAGGGCCAGCAGGGTGATGCACATGGTAGATGAAGCCACCAGCAAACCGATGACAGCTGGTGCATGTGGGGGGTAATCCTTGGTCACCAGCTGCCCCTGGGAGAAGAGATTGAGCATCAGGGGAAGGTCCCTCCTATCAAGTCCAAGAGAACTGTTCACCCAAGCCTGGGGGAGGGGGGAGAGAGGGGGGGGGGGGGGGGGGGGGGGTGTACAGTGTGGCACACCAAAGGATACTGGTACTTCTAGGGAAAGGCCCACTGTGATGCTTTGGGCATCTCTTGCTCTCTCCATGCATCATGGTTAAAAACTCACAGCCCACTTCTGCTGTGCTAAATTGAGCATCTGTGAAATACTCACATGGAGCCTTCTCACAGCACAGCAATAGTCCCCTGTGTTCTGAGTGACTGTGTGGTCTCTGCCTTATTCCCCAGCCCTGCAGGAACATCGGGTACCTGAGTGCCATCCCAGGCTTGGTACTGCAGTGTCCCTGAGAGGATATAGTCACTCAGGTAGAAGACATAGAGGCTGATGATGAGTATTGGACTCACAAACGCCCACATGGCCTTCCAGTACCAGTTGAGGGAGCGGCAAGTCATGGCCTGAAGGTCACTTTCAAATCTGTTGGGAGCACAGAGAGAGACAGATTTATTCATGCTCTGGAGGGAGGGACTCTAGTTTGCATACCTTCTGCCCTTGGGAAGATGCTGTTCTGGTTTGATGTTTGAATGTGACCCCAACCCATCTGATCCTCTCTGGGGGAGCTATTGAGGTAAAGGGAAAAGGGCTGAGGCTGCCTGAGGATGACCAATGAAGAACTGGTCATGAGACATCATCTCCCCGGTGTTGGCCTTCAGAGGTCCCAGGTGTGGACCAGAGGTTAGTTCCCAGAGAAGGTGGGGGAGGGGGTGCCAGCCCTCTCAGTCCACAGGGCTACGGTGAGATTCCCTCTGCCCTCCCACTCTGTCCATCAGTGATGGTTCCGAGTATACTCTACTGCCTCCTAGAGATGGTCACTATGTGCTTGGAAGGGCCTGGCCTTGGCATGGGAGAGCAGGCAGAGTTAGAGCAGGAACAAAGCTGCTAGGCTTAAACTCAAGACCACCCTCTGCCTTCTCATCGTGGATATATTCTATCATAATGGCTGAAAGTCTGGGAATGCTAAAGATAGCCCCTGAGACTGTGAGAAGTGGACTTAAATGTGGTGTGGGGCCCTAGATAAGGATTGGTTTGGGAAGAAACTACAATTTACATAGATGCTCTCACATGCCAGGCTCTGGTCATGTACCAGAGCAGATTAAGCCTCCAAGGTAGTAGTCAGAGATCCCTTATATACTGGGGGTGCCAGGGCTTAGTGTTGTCAGATAACTGCACAACATGGCAGAGTCAATATTTGACTCTTTCCAGGTTTTCTTCTGACTTCCTAAGGCTTTCCATGGTGCCTCTGAATTCATAGTAGCCCTTCCCACTGCCATACCATACAATATCAGCCACTGGGAGGCTCCCTCAGGAGAGGATTAAGTGCTGGATTGGGAGCTACATGCATTTGTACTGTGGACCACAGAGACCCAATTTCAGAAAAAAAAAAAAAAAAAAAAAACCAAGTGCTATCAGGCTTCGAGGAGCGGGGAAGAGGACACTTCCCACATGATAGCTAGGACATGTGATCAGATGTGACATTATCTATCCTGGACATAGAGCCATCAGAGGCACAGGAGGGTTCTCATGATCCTGGCTGGGTGGCAAGATGTTGAAATTAAAAATGGGTCTCTGTGGTGCACATTACATGTGCATAAAGCACCTAGAACAACTTACCCAAGTGGAACCGAGTATTACCCTAGCAGGAGCACAGCTACACCCCTGCAGCCTTTCTGGAGTTGTCTTAGAAGCACATGGTCCCTAATTAGACCCTTCCACTGATTGTCTTGCCTTTCGCCACTCTCCCATGCCCCGCCTCCACTGCCTGGTGTCCTGATCTGAAATGGCCTCCTTGGGCAGGTAGCTGGAGATGACCTTGCTGTCCGTCAGAGGGGTGAGGATGGCCGCTGTGTTTCCAAGCATGCTCCCAAAACCCATCATCAGCAGCATGAAGATGTAGAGAACTGACCAGAGCTGGGACACTTCCATGTTTTTAATGGCCTCAGTGTAGACGATGAAGGCCAGGCCCGTGCCCTGAACAGCCTGCTGATGATTAAAAGACACCAGATATACATGTGAGTCAGAGGGGACAAGAATGAAACACCATAGTTCGGATGTGGAATGTCTACCCTCCCTGTCTTGCTGCACTCTTCGAGGTGTGTAACTGTAACACCAAAAATAAAAACCCAGAGACAGATATTGGGGTTCAAGCTTCAAGCTGAGGTCAGAGAAGCAAAGCAGCTGAGCCACTAGGTCTTACATCTACCTCAGTCCAAAAGGGGGTGATCCTGTCTCCACAAGGACTCCAGCAAACCTCAGACTGCTGCCTATCCTCGGGGTGGCTAGAGATTAAATCTCACAATGCTGCCTGAGACACTGAATTCCTGTCTTTCATATGCCTCTCTAGAGCAGGGATTAAAGGCATGAGCTCTGTTAAATCTTTCAGACTGATTCACTCTAGTGTATCCCTGGGAGGTCTCTAACTCACAGAAATCCACCCAAAGGCATGTGGATACTGCCTGGCTAGCTAGTATGGTTTCTGTGATTAAAGGTATGTATCACCATTACCTGACCTCTATAGCTTGTGGCTGGCTTTGCTTTCTGAATCCTCAGGCAAGCTTTGATAAGTCATAAGTAATATATCACCACATATAACTTTCAGAGCTGGGCTCTCACTGGAGAAAGTAGATCATTGGGTAAGTGTCTTGAGATTGTATAGCCCGCTGTCATTTCCTGTCTGTTCTTTGCTTCCTTGTCCATCAATAGTTAAAATCTTAGGCTCATGAGTCTATTGTCATGAATTGTACAATCCTTCTCCACCATGTTAGATTGTGCCTTTCAATCCAGAAATAAAATAAGTGCCTCACTCATGACCATGTTAGGTATTTGGTTATAGCAACACAATTGTGTATTGACTGATACAAAAATGAAATAAGCTAAATGGTATAAGCAAAGGGGGAATAGTAGGCTTCAGGAGCAGATGAGGATAACATGACACTGAACATTTTAAGTGAATATTAGATATCACACAACAATTATTTCACTATTATTAGCAGGAGCCATCAATTCTAAACAATGTCAGTGTTAAAATACACCCTACTGGGGTACTCTGAACTCACTTTCCTGCCCATGACTACCACCGAAAGCACCACATTGTAGACAATTGGAATCAATGACTTAAAAAAATAGTGTTTTCAATGATTAACATAATTATTGGTTTAAAATGTCACTGTAATGTTAATATTGAATTAGACATGGTTGAAGAGAGAATTAGTGGGCAGGGAGTTATTTCTCAGTGTAATTCTGTTCAATAGAATGTAGTTTGACCTAAAGATGTCTTTGTACACTGTGAACCTTAAGCTAATCACATCAGCCAGCCTCTAAGAGCCAGGTAGCCAACTGCTTAAAACCAGGTTCAAAGAAAGCAAATATAAGTTTTACCCAATGAGCACTCTGTATACTTCTTTTCTATTTTCTTTTTAAAATTTTATTTTATATGAATTGGTGTTTTGCGCGCATGCATGTGGTGTTTGTGTGTGTGTGTGAGAGAGAGAGAGAGCGAGAGAGAGAGAGAGAGAGAGAGAGAGAGAGAGAGAGAGAGAGAGAGAGAAAGAGAGAGATCCTTTAGAGCTTGAGTTACAGGGTGCTGAGAATTGAACACATGTCCTCTGGAAAAGCGGATAGTTTCCTGAACCACTGAGCCATCTCTCCAGCCCCCTCATTTCCACTTTCTATATTTAATTTTCTTTTCTTTTGATATCCTGCACATGTGAGGGTAGAACATTCTGAATTTCATTTTGCCCAGTATGTTTTCTAACTACAGAATCAAGCCAATTAAAATCTATGAAAGTGATTCTGTCTTACTTTTCTGTTGTGACAAAATGCCATGACCAAGGCCACAGAAAATAAAGTGTTTAATTTGGGGTGCATGGTTACAGAGGGTTAGAGTCCATGGCCATCATGGTGAGGACATGGCAGCTGGCAGGCAGGCATGGTGTTGGCCCATGAGCGCTTATATCCCTTTCTGCAAACAGGAACCAGAGGGAGCTATTTGGGAATGGCCTGGGCTTCTGAAACCTCAGGCCCACTGCCAGCATCAGAACTCCTCCAATGAGGCCACACTTCTTAATCCTTCCCAAAGAACTGTACCAAATGGGGGGCAAGTATTCAAACATATGCACATATGGGGGGCATTCTCATTCAAACCACCACACCCCACACCTTGTCTGCCATAGGCTTGTGGCCATATCATAATGCAAAATGACTTTCGTCCAACTCTAACAGTCCCCACAGTCTTTCATGGTGTGAACACTATTTTAAGTTTCTTCTGAGACCCAAGGCAACTTTTAATTATAACTCCTTGTAAAATCAAAAAGTAAATTATAAACTTCAATGTAAAACAGCATAGAATATACATTACCATTTCAAAAGGGAGGAATGGTAATATAGTTAGAAAATACTGGAGCAAGGCATGACAGAAATCCAGCGGGGCAATCTTCAAATCCTGTATCTCTAATCTATTTCTAATAGGCAAATGGAAATTCAGGAGGGCAAACTCCAAATCCTATAGCTCTAATCTGCTGCCAATGGGCTTAGATGGCTCTTCCCTTCAAGTTCCGCTGGCTACAACATGTGTCTTTCTCTCTTGATTTGGTCCCAAGCTTCTTGGTAAGTCTATGATTTTGACATTTCCAAGATCTTGAGGTCTCCAATGCAATCCAGGCTTCATTTTCATAAATTCACATATAGCTTCTCTGGTTTCCTTGAAGGGATTCCCATGCCAAACACCTTGCTTCAGAGGATTTTCTTAACTGCGGAGGAAGATTCCACAACTCCTTTACTCCAGTATCATTCAGGGATCTAAAGCCAGAATGACCTGGCCAATGAAGCCAAGTTCAGCCATTTTGGTTGGAGCCTGTTCCCCTTCTTGAATTATATTTGCATAACATTTTCCCCCATTGCAGCTTTATAGAAATACAAAAGGCATTTCCTTTATGCAAGTTTTCGGGTTAGCTGGGTGGGGTCTTCACCCAAAGACAACACTCCCTTTATTCCATTTCACACTAGGCCTCTCCTTATCTCTTTCAGTACAGACATCAAATTTCTTGGTGCTTTTTCCCCTCCTCAAACTATACATTTTGTGTTTCTTTTTGCCCTGCTTATTATTTTTTATGGTAGCTCTGCATGAATGTGATTACTAATAACCATGCAACAGAGTTAATATTAGGCTGTTTTGAAATATCCTCTGCCTATAAAATTAGTCCAACTATTTCAATTTGCCCTCAGGCAGAAAGCATCCTCATTTTTTTCCCCAAGCACCACAAGAATGGTTTCTAACACTGTCACTAATTTTGTTGCCCTCTGAAGTTTCTTGAGCTAAGCATCCATAACCCTCAATGATCTTAGCACTGTTGTCTCCAAGCTCTTACTAGGATGTCCATTCAGCCCTGCTTATAGCAGTCAACAGCTTTCCTAATCCAATT